GTGGGGAGGGGGTGGCACCCCGGGGGGGCCCACGGGGCACCCCCAAACCCGCCGTTGCCCTTACCGAGGAGAGGTAATCCCGCACCCAGCTGCGCTGGCAGCCCCACTCCTTCCGCAGCCCCGCCAGTGCCTCCATGGCGGCCACCTTGGCCCGGATCTGCCCCATCTCCGAGGGGGGGATGTTCTTGACGATCTGCCGCGCTCGCCACCTGCCACGGGGGGACACGGCGCGGTTGCGTCACCGTCCCATGCCCCCGTCCCGTGGCCCCCCCATCCCATGGCCCCATTCCACATTCCCAGCCCACGCCCCCATTCCACATTCCCAACCCACGCCCCCATCCCACGTCCCTGTCCCACATCCCCGTCCCCATCCCACGTTCCCGTCCCACATTCCCAACCCATATCATCCCCATCCCACATCCCTGTCCCCATCCCACATCCCTGTCCCACATTCCCAACCCACATCCCCCACATCCCCATCCCACGTCCCTGATCCACGTCCCCATCCCCATTCCATGTCCCTGTCCCACATTCCCAACCCACGTCCCCATCCCATGTCCCCATCCCATGTCCCCATCCCATGTTCCTGTTCCATGTCCCCATCCTACATTCCCAACCCACGTCCCCATTCCATGTCTCCATCCCATGTCCCCATCCCATGTTCCCATTCCACATCCCCATCCCACATTCCCAACCCATGTCCCTGTCCCGTGTCACCATTCCATGTCCCCATCCACATCCCATGTTCCCGTTCCACATCCCTATCCCACATTCCCAACCCATGTCCCCATCCCACGTCCCCGTCCCACATCCATGTTCCCATCCCACGTCCCTGTCCCACGTCCTCATCCCAACACGGGAGCGGAGCGGGATCCGGGACGGTACCTGCGGAAGAGGCGCTGGCTGGCATCCTGGAAGCGCGCCAGCACCGCCGGCGGCTCCGGCCAAACCACGCTTTTGCCGAAATCGGGGAGGGTGCGGACGGCCTGGAAGCGGCGCAGCAGCTCCCGCAGGTACGCCTTCACCTTGTGCCGCTTGTAGTAAGCCATGATGGTGTAGGCAGCGCGCAGGTAACGGCAGCGCCGCCGCGCCCGGGCGCCGCGCCCAGCCCGCCGAACG